CAGCCCCCCTGGGGGGCCCCCTTTTTCTTTTTTGTTTTTGGGGGGGGGGGGAGCGTTCCCCGATTCTTAATTGGGCTAATTCAATTGTTGGCACAGCAGCCACGGCCTACGCAGGGCTGCTACAATGCCCGTGCCTGGAAATACCCTGTGTTTGATGCAACTGTGGATAGAAACGCCCTGTGTTTGATGCAATTGTGTATAGAAACGCCAGGCGACGAAGCCAGTACTCACGGAGGATTTCAGGAGCAGCAGGGGATCGAGGACGTCCGCCCAGAGAAGAAACCTCTGGAAAAAAGACTGAGGGAGGCGAGGCGTTATTTCGGAGGGAGGGAGGCAGCCCAAACCCAGGCCACCCCAGCCCCTCTCGGCCCCTCACCTGCCCCTCCGCCCTCCAGAACCGCAGGTTGGCGTCCATGGAGCCGCGGCACCGGAAAAGCGCCGCCGGGGAGCGGTCCGGCTGCTGCACCCTCCGCCCGGGCCCCGCACCGCCGCCACGGGATCCGGGCCGGGCCGGGAAGGCCCTACCCTCCGGGTAGACCTGGTGCCTGCGCCGCCTTCCCGCCCTCGGGCGCGTGCGGGGCCCTGAGGCGCCGCCGGGGAGAGAGGGGGGCGGCCCGGGAGCTCCCTCAGGGCAGGCCCCGGAGCGGGAGAAGCCGGTCGTGGTTAGGAAAGGTCCCCTCTGCCAGCCGGGAAGGCAGAACCGAGAAGCAGGAAGGCAGGGAAACCTCCTCTGTCCACCACATTGGCTTAAAGTGACGGAGGTAAGGGCAGGATTCGGCCCGGTAACAGATGAGTGCGGTTTCAGAGGCACAAACTGCTGCCACCCACACTGCCACCGTGTTATTCGGCACCACCGAGCTGTGCAGGGGGTTAACGTCACATCTTGGAGGGGCAGGAGATCAGGTTTATTGGAAAAAACGCATGGATAGTTGTAGATTTCTACAAAGCTGAAGTAAAACACTGTGACTGGAACCTGGTACATCACCGGGCACCACACAGCATCAGGCTCGGTGTTTTATCCTTTCACTTTGCAGCATCAATAGCTGTGATAAACGTAACTTATGACACCCTTTACCGAGGTGGTTCCCTCGTGCTTCTGCTTATGAAGTCCTTTCCCCTGCTAGAAAAGGCAGGTGGTGAAAAATACAAACCTATTGGGTGTTATTTATCCATCCCCTCAGCAGCAGCACACCCGCTACACACTGTCTGTGGGGGCACACACCAAGGGCACAAGCAGGGCACACACACCAAGGCAGCGCCGGCTGTTAACTGCTGGCTGTGAAGAAAGGTATAGAAGATAGTTTCTAAGGCAGCACAACTTACCCAACTTCTTCCCAACTCTGAGAAACAGGAATCTTTGGGGAAAAAGTGGAAGAAAAGCAAAGCAACACACCTGCTGCTAGTCAACATTAATATTTATTATTATAGCTAGAGATACGCTACATTGTTTTCAAGCAGTACAACAGTTCACTTTTTTCTGGGAGACAGATTCAAGCAAATAAGCAATGCTTTAAATGACATTTCACTTTCAGTTTTTCTGGGAGACAGGTTCAAGCAAATAAGCAATGCTTTAAATGACAAAAGACTGTCATTAAGCTCCAGAAGTATGTTACTTGGGTTCAAGTTTTTATCATCTCCCAAGCAGAATGCAAATTATTCATGCTTGTTAACCCTCCCGTGTAGCTGCACTGCATCTTTAACTATATGCAGGATTAAAATGGCACATATTTACATTCATTTCAAGGTATAGTGCATTACACATCAAAACAAGGGGATTTTTTAAAATCATTTTTTACTTGTTACATTCATCTCTTCCTCTCCAAAATTCATTAAAAACAAATTACATATCAAATTTCCATTTTCTGTGTTGCCCCCCATTGTTTCAAACTCTTGTTAACAGGATTTAATTTTTCACGTGAGAAAAGAAAACACAGGACACTTGCTGGTCCAAAACTAGTTCAGGAAAGATCCCCATTGTTTCCAACTCTTGTTACAGGATTTAATTTTTCAGGTGAGAAAAGAAAACACAGGATACTTGCTGGTCCAAAACTAGTTCAGGAAAGAGGAAAAACCCAGTGGAAAACAACTGTAGTTTGTGTACTTGTATTCAGGGAGAATTCTAAAATTCATGAAACTGAAATTGCAAAAGAGTTGGGGTGGAAGCCTTAGTTTTTACCCTTATTATAAAGCAAGACAAGGGAGTCAAGTAAGTATTTAATCATTTAATTTCTTCTTAAACATGAGAAAATGAGAACTTTGATTTGATTATTTTTTTATACAATCACAGCTGCTGTCCTAATGTCTTCTGTTTATGGTAACTAGGAGTTTTGTCCACATATTTGAGTGTTTATGTATGCACTTTCTCAAAATATTCTTTAGAACCTTCTGGGCTTGGTTTGATCTGTCAAGAAAAGAAAGTTTAGTTATTATATGCCATAACTGAGATTAAAAAAAAACCCAACCAAACATATCTGACACTTTATCCAGGAAAATCCATGCATACTTTATAAAAACAATAGGTTATTTCTGTTTCTGCGCTTGACTGAAAGATAAAAGCCTAAATGATGTACAAGCTCCTACTTGCAAATTTTAAGTATACAGCACATTTTTCCTGCTAAATATCAAGCAGGACATTACATAAGGGAAAAATATGAAGACAACTGGTGGAGAGTGCAAGTCAAATTTAGAGTTTTAAATACAATTTGTGTCTTCTAAAAAGAAAATCAGTTACTTTCTTCACAGAAATGGCACATATAGTTACATCATACAAATAGCCTGAATTGCTCTAACCGATAAAAGCCTCAAACCATTCTATGACTTAAACAACAGGCAGCGATTCAGTCAAGCACCTCACGTTAAAGTGGCTCTCAGCCCTTCAGACATGCAAAAATATGCCAGTGTCTATATTTAGAAAAGTGATATTTAGCAGACGCTTACTGTAGGGGAGTCTGGAGTCCAGTTTGCCGGGCAAACCTCTCCATGTGTTTCCACATACTGGAATGCTTTCACCAGGCGGAGGGTCTCTTCCACGCTACGACCCACTGGGAGATCATTGATACTTAGGTGCTTGATGACCCCATTTGGATCAATGATGAAGAGACCTCTGTAATTGAGCAAGAATTCAGGGAATGCAAATCACGTTCCAAGACCAAACACAAGAAAGTGGATGAACTATTTCAGGAAGGCGGTTATTCTTAGATGCACGTATGAGAGTTAGGAGTAGCAATACAGTGTTTGATATATTGTTTGTTAGTGCAGTGATCAAAAGCCAACTGGTATGGTACTGTGAAGTTACAAACTATGCATAAAGACTATTAAATTGCGACAGATGTATGACAAAGGTAGAATGTCTAATTCCACCTATATTTCAAAGTTGGCAGCTGGTATCCTTCTGGTCTTTTTGATATGAAAATCTAAAGGTATTGAGCAAAAAGCTGCTTACTCATTAAGCTACTAAATTAAATCCTGTTGCTATAAATATTTGTGAAAAATGAAGTCCCAGCCTTACCATATTAATTAACCTTATTTGTCAACAAAAAAATGTCAGGAGTTCCTGATCTAAAGAGATCAGGAACCAAAGGTCCCCAGAAGACTCCTACCCAATCCAATAGATCGCAGGGACCACTATTTGCTTTTAATAAGTATTTCCATGGTGGAGAAGGAAATGTCAAATTTTAAATTCTAAATAATTAAGGGATTGACTGTAGTGGCCTCTAGGAGTACTGCTTTAGAAACTTCTCGCACAGAAGTTAAGGCAGTTTCTTCTCACTTCAGAAGAAAAAAAAAACAAAAAAAAAAAAAGACAAGAAAGGGGCAGACCTAGATTGTGACAAAATGTAAAAAACTGTAAATTGTTTTTTTTATCCTAGTCTTTTCCTTAGTGATATGGAGTTCCCCCACTAACAGAACAGCTGGCTTTCCCCTGCATGAGTTCTGGGCAGAGAGGCCCAGAGCCACTCTCAACTTAATGGCCATAACTGCCATGTGCCCTTTTCTTTGGGTGGGATCCAGCAGAAGTTCTGCAGAATAAGTAACACGTTACAGTCTTCCTTTGATCCTCGTGCGGTTTCCCCTGCAGGAGGGGACAGAATGGCTCACGTTGTTTGAGATTGGGTTGTGTCGTAACCGAGTTATCGGCAGTGGCGTGTTACCTCAGTGCTATGCCAGGTCCTTCCAGCAGCACGCCGTAATCACGGGAGATCTGTTTTGTGAGGTCCGACAGAATTGGAATATTCATTTTGCCCAAACCGCCGCTCTAGAGAAAAAGAGTAAGATTCCACTTTGTTACAAAACGCTTTTTAGGATTATCCCTCTAAAGTCACTGGATTCAGTGGTCCTGAAGGTATGCTGACAATAAAACACATTTATGCCGTTTGCGTCATGAAAGGATCATGGAGGGGTGGGGTGGTGGTGTTTGTTTGGTTTGGTTTATTTGGTGTGGTTTTTTTGTTTGCTTGTTTGTTTTTTTAAAATTTGTCAGGAACATTTGGTTTCTTTAAAACATGAAAACTTCTTTTGCACCCAGCATTTTAGAATTGCTTGGTAAAAGTCTATCTATGACAACAGTCCTCAATTTTTAGAAAGATTCCCTTTGTAGCCTGTTCAGGAGCTTTGAATACAAAAATTTCTACTGCATATTTAAGTGTTCAAAACTAAACAAGATGAACATAGTGGGGAGGGAAGACAAATCTGCCTATTATGAGCAAACAAAACAGAAGGCTTGCAGCCATGCTAGGGATGTCAGAGTTCTGCTGCTTTCTCTATTTAATGCATGTTTTTTGATTGGGGTTTTTTTTTTCCTCCTCCAAATAAATTTAAATACTTAAATAAGATTAACACAGTGGGGAGGGAAGACAAACCTGCGTACAATGAGCAGACAAAACAGAAGGCTTGCAGCCATGCTAGGGATGTCAGAGTTCTGCTGCTTTCTCTATTTAATGCATGTTTTTTGATTGGGGTTTTTTTTTTCCTCCTCCAAATAAATTTAAATACCATTTGGAGAGTTAACCAAGATTTCTTTCAGTTTTGCAACATACTGGAACTGCAAGAGAGATAAGCTCTCTATCCTTGAAACAAGCCCAGAGTTTGTTAGCTCTTCTATTCCTGGCATCATCAGGGAATCGTTGTGCAATCCCAGTCACTCAGACCCTGATCCTGCAAATGCCTGTCCATGACAGAGGTCTCACACGCAGAGCTTTGAGCGCAGGTGTTGGAGAAACCAAGGCCTTCAGCTTCTCCGGGTGTCGGTTTCCTGGATGCACCACCACGGAATTCTTTCCACCCTTCACAGGGCATCTTGCACCCAGCAGTGCCCAACTGGCACCCGCTCAACAACTTCTGCATGAAGTGGTGAAATCAGTCCTTAATCACGTTTTAGAGCTTTGAATAAAGCACGCAGAAAATTAAATACTCCCAATAGGTATTAAATCTGGCAAACTCTCCTCCCTTCCCTCTACGTGACAAGGGCAGAGCCGTGCACCTGGAGGCACTCCAGTCTGGAGTAAAGACTGATGGCCCAGGAGCTCCTGCACCTTCCTGCGACACTTCTGAGTCTCTACAACCAACCAAACCAGTCAGGTGCTTGATGGGATTAAAAGTGGGCATTGTTATATGCATCTGGAAGAGGCTCCTCTCCAGTAAAAGGTTGTCTTTACCACTGTCCTTCCCTGAAGAAAGCTGAGCAGCTCTGTCTGTATTGCAGAAGTGGAACTATTTCAGCAAGTGAAGAGTTAATAAGCGCTCCAATAATCTCATCATTCTTCTGCTTCCATTCTGAAGCCACTGCTGTTGGGCATCAATTAATGCTAAGGACTAAACAGCTGCTGTTGATTTTCTGTGAGGGTGCACACAAAGCACCAGCTCTGACACGTACACTGAGTATTTGTCTTTTGAGACACATGGAAGGACACGACGTAACCTACAAGACCATCATGAAAGCAAAAGAAAGATGAAAAAACCCCCTGAAATTAGTATGGAAAAGGGTAAGAAAATGAAGACTGAGGTCAGAATTATGTCATCAAACGTAGAAGTTCTTTACTTCACGTATCACTTCAGGCAGTCTCTCGAAATCGGTGTTTGCACAATTGTTTATTCAACTCTATTTCTCAGGAGCTCTATGTGAAAAGAAAACAAACCAACACAGAAAGGCCCCAAAGAGCTGCCCAATTCGTACCTTTCGTGGCGTATTTATCCAGGCAAGATGACAAAAATGAGAATCCACAGAAACTGCCACCACTTCACAGTTCACATCACGGAATTCATTTGCTTTGTTGCTGAAAGCCACAATTTCTGTGGGGCAGACGAAGGTGCTGGGTGGGAAGAGTGAACAGGCTGTAATGAGTCTGCCAACTTTTGAGAGAATTTTTTAGAAAACACCTCTGAGCCCTAACACAGCGCTGTGGTTTTTTTCGCCTGATAATTTTGGCCATGTTTCCTGCTGAAGATTAGCTTCAGCCAGTCTCAAAGTGGCAGCCACCTGGCTGGCTCACCAGTTTTCAACACTTGGTTCGAGGCAGATGTTTTGCAGAGATGGAGGAACTCTCTCTGCTACAAAGAGGTTTTGGAAACTCTAAGAGAAAGAACTGCCCTCCCCCATGTGCCCACGTACACCAGGGTGCTCCTGGCGATTCTTCTGCACAGGCTCAGCCCCGTCTTTCCACCTTCTGCTCTGGAGCCATCCTGCAGTTCTGCTGGCTCCAACGTGACCCTGGACTACAAGGCAAAGCCTTCACCCCTGGGATCTGACTGTGCGAGGAATCACCTCAAAGAACCACCACAAGGTCACGTCCACCTCCTGCAGCAGGCCTGGAGGATGCTCTCCAGCCACAGATCCATTGCTCTAGTACACAATGGCCATTTGCCCCCAAGTCTTATCGTTCTGCCTCTAGAAACATCTGCCTTGGAGGACTAGCCCAGATAAGGGAAAACCAGCACTCGTGGTGACCTTCAGCAGGGCAGGAGGCCCACGTGAAGGGAGAGAAGCCCGCACTCACAAGTCCAGGGGGTAGAAGAAGAGGACCAGGTATTTCCCCTTGAAATCATCCAGGCTCAGCTCCTTGAACTCTCCGTTAACCACGGCCGTGCCTTTGAAGAACGGGGCATGCTGTGTCACCGCTGGGGCCAAGCGCCAGGAGCCTGCGGGGGACAAAACACAGCTCTGGGCCTGGTGGGGCCTGCCCGGGCCTGGGCCTCCTCCTCCTCCTCCTTCTCCTCCCGGGCGCCGCCGCAGGGCCCGTTCCCGCCTGTTTCCCGGCCGCGCTCCCCGCACTTACCGAGGCTGAAGTGGCGGCGGGCGCAGGGCAAGGGCCGGGCCGTCAGCCCCCTCCCGGCGGCGGCGGCAGCGGCGGGTACCTGCGGGGGGGAGAGGGAGGGTCAGCGCCGGCGGGGCCGGGGCGCGGGGGCGGCCGGCGGAAGGGGTGACCCACTCACCGCGGAGCGCAGCAGCCTCCCCAGCGCGGCGGCCATGGCGAGCGGGCGGAGCGGGCCCGGCGGCGCGGGAGGGAGCTGGGAGGCGGGGAAGGGAAGGAGGGGCCTTGTGCTCAGAGAGCTGCCGGCTACGGGCTTCTCCTGGTCGGGGTTTGGTGGAACTCGATGTGGCTACAAGTTGTTTAATCACAGTTAAACAATTAGGGCGCGATCTCCTTGCGTGATGAGGGAAAGGCTGCGGATGTTGTCTGCCTGGACTTTAGTAAAGACTTTGACACCGTTTCCCACCGCATTCTCCCGGAGAAACGGGCTGCTCATGGCTGGGATGGGAGTATGCTTCGCTGGGTGACAAACTGGCTGGATGGCCGGGCCCAAAGAGTGGTGGTGAATGGAGTTAAATCCACCTGGAGGCTGGTCACAAGTGGTGTTCCCCAGGGCTCAGTACCAGGTTCTGTTTAATATAATTATCAACAGCTAGGACAAGTGAATCAAGTGCACCCGCAGTCAGTTTGCAGGCAACACCAAGTTGAACAGGAGTGTTGATCTGTTTGAGGGTAGGAAGGCTCTACAGAGGAGTCTGGACAGGCTGGATGACCCTAAAACCCTGTCACAGGCCTCCTGTCTTCTGCCAGATGAAGGCAACACAGGAAAGGTGGACAGCTTGTGAAATGGACCACACCTTCATAGGTCTATGGGGCCTGACAAGATGCATCCCAGAGTCCTGAAGGAATTGACGGATGGAGTTGCCAAGCCATTCTCCATGATATTTGAAAAGTCATGGCAGTCAGGTGAAGTTCTCGGTCACTAGAAAAAGGGAATTGTTGGACCCCTTATTAAAATGGGTAGAAGGGAGGACCATGGGAGCTACCAACCTGTCAGCCTCACCTCTGTGCCTGGGAAGATCGTGGAACAGATTCTCCTAGAAGCTCTGCTAAGACATGTGGAGGACCTGGAGATGAGTCAAGACAGCTAGCATGGCTCCACCAAGGACTTCATGCCTGACCAACCTAGTGGCCTTCTGTGATGGAGTGACTACATCAGTGGACAAGGGGAGAACTACAGATGTCCTCTAGCTGGACTGATAGGGACAAACTTTTTAGCAGGGCCTGTTCCAATAAGACAAGGGGTAATGATTTTAAACTAAAAGAGGGTAGATTTAGACTAGATATAAGGAAGAAATTTTTTTACAATGAGGATGGTGAAACACAGGCACTGGTTGCCCGGAGAGGTGTTGATGCCCCATCCCTGGTCCCACTGGGACCAAAAGCCAAAGGCAGCCAGAGCACTGTGGCAGGGGGATGAGCCACAGATACTGCATCTTTACTTCTAAACAAATTAGCAAACTTGTTCCTGGTACTGGTCTGACTGGCATGGTCCAGTCACCTCTGTGACAGTAAACTCTTTGAGCCTTCCAAAGAGTGAGGTTGTGTGCAGCTGCCTGTTAGGGTTGGTCATTAGCTGATAATTAACTCTCTAAAATGCCTGAGACCTTTCTGAGCATTTAGTGTCATCACCTGTTTCACTCGCTGGTTCCTTTCTGTGGCACTCCTGAATTTATTGATCCAGATGATTAGCACTTCATTAAGGGAAACCTGAAAGCACATGAGAGAGAAGTTGAGTTTTGACTCTTGCCAATGAACCAGGGCTGCTTGAAAGTGCCAGCTGGAGGGAGACTCTGCTGGGAAGATCTCTGGCTGAGTAAGGGTGGGCAGCAGGCTTATTTGCATGTCTGGTACCTAAAAATAAGGGGCATTCTCACTTAAAAACCCCTCAAAGCCTAAATGTGGAAGCAAGTTAACTATTTGTATGTTAGAAAATATGTCAGGTATGGCGTGGGTGAGCCGTGCTGTGGCCTGCAGCCCTGGGAGGTGGAGAGGGAAGGAAGGGCTGTTGAGAGCTGTGTCTGCAGTAGAGGTTTGGGAGGTCTTCATGCCACTGCTGAGATCTGCTGGTGGAGCAGTGAGCTAAGCCTGGAACCCCTGCAGCAAAGTGACTGTCAGTGGAGAGTAGGAAAGAAACATCATCCATTACCTGGGCTGAATGGCACATCTGTGTTCACATCTGCTGGCCCAGCACAGTCCCCCATGGCTGGGGATGGCTGAGCCACACCGGTCCTTTCCCTCAGCTGCAGGAGCTGTATTGTGGCAGCAAAAAAAAAAAAAAAAAAAAAAATAAAATTACTACTGCCGTCTTCCTCGTCTGCAAAATTAATGCTTGGTGCTCCACTTCATCCACGTACCGCTAAAAAAAAAAAAAAAAAAAAGGCTATTGCTAGGATTTCCTGAGGATGGTTGTCTCACCCACATGATTATTCACAACTTCTAAGTTGCTGTATTCTAAAACCGTGTCCTTCCCCCCTCCCCGGAAAGTTATATTTGTTTAAAACTCTTTGTTTAAATACTTGGCTTGCAGGTGGGGAAATATTGCTCATGCTTTGTTATGAAGGCAGCATAATTCAGCTCCTCAGACTTCTGGGCAAGAGCTTGAACTACTGCCATTTAACAGGAGGTTTATTTTCCATTTCGCTTTTGACTGGGCATCCTTACAATTTGAAGATGGACCTTGTCACTGCCAAAGTGCACCTGGCAAAAGAGTCGTTCCTTTTTCCTCAGCTCTGGCTCTGACACAGGCTAGAGCAGCTGCTAAACCCGGTTCTTGCCATCCAAACTTCAAAATAAATGTACCAAGCAGTACCACATGTGCATCTTTTTCCAAATCTTGCCATTTGTCTGCTTTGCTGTCTCCTACAGGGTTTTGCCTGGACGGACGGGCCCCAGTCTCATATCTCATTCTGCAATGAGGGACTGCTGGTTCATATTGGACATTTTCACATGTGAAGGATTAGAGTCTTTAAGCCTGATTCAAATTGAGACCCCTCAAGGTGGTGAAAGAATTCTCAGGGATTTCAGCAGGCTTTAGGGAGAAGTTTTTATTGCTACAAGGTGCAGAGCAGTGGTAAGGCACTGGAACGGATAAGGGGAGATAGAAATTTTATTTTTGGTTAGAATACTTGTCTGCCTGCCCTCACTTTGTGCCTCTTTTTCCCTATCTGGGAATAATTAAATATGCTTTTCTGGTGAAAAACTTTGAGATATGTTGATAAAAAAGTGCTAGATAATGCTTGTGTGTTGTTACCATTATTGTTTTGTGAGAATTAGTTTTTAAAGAGCTCTGTGAAAGATCATCATTTACACTACAAAATATTAGTGAAAAAGCAGCTGCTTCTCTCTAAACTTGTAAGCAAATCCTGGATCAGATTTGTTGCCGTGGGTCACTGAATGGTGGATTCTGTGCAGAGTAACAGGATGCGTTCATCTGCTTGTTTAAAAAAGAAAATCTGCTCATCTTCTAGAAGGTTATTTTATCCCGTGTGCTCAAATGCTGTAACAATCATCTGTCCTCTACCTTGAAGAAAGAGATAACTGGGGGGAAAAAAAAATAAAATGTTTGGAAATGGAAAGAAACAACAGAGGCATAAACATTTTTATCTAACCCAAAGCAAAAAGTTTGCTTTAGACAACACGATGCATCACCCCGTGGCTGTTGGTAGATGGCAGCCTCTGTCCTTCCGCAGAGGGGCTCTGTAAAAGGTTACAGCTGCCTCCAGATGCTTCCTCACAGGCCTCTGTGCTCCCACCTGCTGATACCAAACCTTAGCAGGAGGAGAAAGAATTTGTAGAAAGAAGTTTCAGAAGCAATTCCAAACATAATCCAGCTCAGAGCTAATCATGAACGGGTTTTACTGCATTAATTGCATGTTATAACGCGGATTTAGGAGGTAGCTGCTGTTGGGGTATGTTTCCAATCGATAAGTATGGGCAAAAGCCTTGTTGGCATCTCGTTGACTGGGGGTCTTATCCTGACCTTTCAAGCAGGCTGTGGCTGTGCTGAGGCCAAGTGGTTTTTTCTCTGGTGGCAGGATAAAACTGGGTGTGTTGCTGCTGCGTTTCTGGCTGGAGCTGCGCGAGCCCACCCTGCCGATGACTCATCCCTGCGAGTGGCTCAGAATATCACACTCTGCCTGTGCTGCTTTCCTATCCTTATTGCACTGATGCATTTGGGTCTCGCACGGTGTTGGCGTTTCATTTACAACCCTCTCTTTTTCCCATAAAGGAAAGATGGCTGCCAGCCCTGCTATATCCTGATGTTCAGCACTCAAAAAGGGTTTTTTTTCTGAGCCTTTCCTGGATGACTTCGGATGAAGATGTTTTATTTAAAAGCAGAACAACCAAACACATTAAGCACCTTAGAAAGCACATTTTTTTCAGAGTTTAACTGTTCTTGGGTAGCTTTTTTTTTTCTTGCAAAATTGGCTGCTTCTGTGTATGATTCAGACTAAATTTTCCCTTTGCTCCCAGCGAGCAGTGAATTGGGATCTTTAGGCCTGCAAAAAAGACCTGTGTTCCCTCCCTGCCACCCTGTCTGAGTCCATGCTTGAGTATTTCAGCAGCAGCGTTTACACCAGTGACCAGAATAAGACAAACAGTGGAACATACACACAGGTCTCCTGTTTCTTTCTCCCTCACTCAGAGAGAACCTGACTGCTCCATTAAATCCAGCGTGGACATACCTTGAAATTAAACTTGTGTTGTCACAAGAGAAAATGGATATAAATAAATTTACCTCTTCCTAATATTTTTTGTTGTTGTTGTTTTTGTGAACCAGCTGTTCCAGGTGACACAAAAATGGAGATACCGACAGCTGTGAAGAAGTCATGAGGTAAGACTCCAAATGCTGCAGTGGGTTTTGCAAAGACCAGCGGAGGAACTTTAGGGCAAGCAGGTCTGTGCAGTGACACTTCTTCTGGCAGTCCAGGGGAAGCCACATCCATGACAGGAGCCATCCATTTGAGGCCTGCACTGAAGCAGACCCTTTTTATGTGTCAGTGGTATATTTGGGCTTAAAAAATTGTAGTGGATCAGAGAGATGCGGTGAAAACTGATTGTCTTGATTTTGTTGTTCACAGAAAGGCATTTTCACAGCTAGTGAGCACACCTCCTTCTACATCCTAGTGTGCCAGTTGAAATAACCCCTCTGGCAGCAGCACAACACCC